ATGTGCTGCAAAAAGTGTCCTCATGTGCTGAATTTTTAAAATACCTTCAGGTGCTGAATCTTTGAAACAAGTGAAACGGCATCTTCTGCAGGAAGATGGCTGCGCTGACTTTTATTGTTCTTGCGGCAGCAAATCATTTCAGAGGGCTTCCCTTTGGAGAAAAAGCCCACGTGGGTTATTTGTCTTGGTGCTTGCATGATTTCTTTATGAATGTTGAACAAATTCTGGTGCAAGATGAAGCAACAAACCACCTTTTCTCTCTTTCTTTATAAATAAGAACATAATGGGAATTTCTTTGAATTAACCAAGGGGAAATCTGTCTGCCTGGGTAGTTTCTATGTGCAGTTTTTAAGCACGGTCTCCAGGCTGACTATGGCTCAAGTGCAGGAATAGGAAACAAATGAGTTATACAAATTTCTATATGGCGTAAATACATAGAAGAATCTACTGATCCAAAAGAAGCTGCAAAGGTGCAATGAAACTGATGCAAATACTATCATTATCATCTTTCCATTATACTGTGTATCGTGTTTTGAGACTGTATATATAATACACTATATGTGTTTTAAGTGCTTTATATTAGGTAGCATATTGAGTTGTTATATGGCAAGCTTTTTACCCAGTAATTGTTTTCACTGACATTTTCATGGATGTTCAATTTAATATGGTTTTGGCACAACACCGTGACAAAGCAGTAATCCTTGTTTTGCCAGCTCTTCTTAGAGCATTTGCATCTTTGTCCTGTTCATGCTTTAACAGATATTTTTAGGGTACTTCCTCTACAGCCACAGCTCTGCCCGCTGCTCTTAGCTGCGATTTAAATTCATTTTGTTGCTTCTCGTCTGCAAGCATCCGATGCTCAGTGGAAAGCATCCTCTGAGGTCTGCGGTCGAGAGGGTGTGAGAAAGGATCATTGAGTCAGTGTGTTCCTGAGGGGGGTCCCAAGGGACTTGCTTGGTGTCCCCCCCTCCTCCTCCAGCTCCACGCACCCTCCCAGTGAGCTATTTTCTCAGCGTTATTTGCTAAAGGGATAATTGACACTAATTTCTTGGCAGAGAAGAGGCAGAAGAGCAGTAAGTGAACGTAAAGCTACTGCCAAGGGGACATCAGAGACCTCCTTCTTTCTTCTGCAGTATTGATGTGGACACTTGGCTCCTTTTCAGCCCGGCTCTGGCACGGTCAGAGTGCCTTAAAACATAGCACAGGTCATCTTGATTTATCACACGTGCTTCTCCCTGGCCTTTCTGCCCTCCCATATGAGTTTCCTGTCCTCTCATGTAGATACTGAAATACGGATGAGGGGAAGCCTCGTATATTGTCATCAGTCTCTGTGTTTCCAGTCAGTTTAGCTCAATAGATTGTTTAATTTTATGAACAGCTCATCCCTTAAAAACATCACCAGGGCTCTTGGCTGCTGAAGGAGAGAAGGGGGAAGCCGGTCTGCCTGCAGAAGACTTCTTTGGGGAGGCAGGACACCGGCCTCTCCCCATCCCTGCTGGTACCGTGCCAAGGATGCACTATGCATCCTATACGGTATCCATGAGATCTAAAGCTGACGCATTGCTGGTCACTGTGTTTGCAAAATGAAAAATAATAAAGAAATTAAGATGGTTTAACAAAGGGAAGCAAAATGAGGTGCTTAGTTAATCCGAGGATTAAGCTAGTGCAGCCGGCCTGCTCTGACAAAGCGGAGATTTAAGAGTGAACCCTGTTGCAGTGCACACAAATCCCGTGGGAATCAAGACTAAAGGGCAATGAAGTGGGGTGGCACCAGCATCAGATGTTGGCACAAGGGAGAGTGAGCTCCCACAAAGAAACAGCTGGACAGTGAAGAAAGGCACTTGAAGTTGCTCTATTCACAGTGTAGTTGATACGTAATATTAATCTCCATCTTGAGCATGGGTATATGCACAGCTGAATTAATCGCAGGAGGGTGGAGCGTGGCCTTGTGATACAGTTGTGTAACGCACTCCGTTATGAACCATTTGGTTATGAGGTTTTCTTGCTTTCTAAAATGTATCATCTCTGTGGCTGGAAATTTCTTTCTTTGGGTGCTCACCAAAAGTTGCAGGATCTTTTATTGTTTTCAGAAACTTTGGCAAAGTCCAAAGCAAACTTCATGGGTAAGGTAGAGTGGGATTTGAATTTTCCAAATTGTGGTAATTCAAACCAAGGATACCCACTGAACCGTCGAAAACTCATAAATTAAATGCAGGTGGCTGCCGATCTCTTTGTGTGTGCTGGCTCTGTCTTAGATACGCACTTACAGATACAAATGTGACAAGTATTGGCTGAGAAACCGAATGGGAATCAGAGGTCTGAAGATGCTATTTTAATGCAGGTATTCAAAAGAGGAGAGTTAAGATGGGATATTCAGTTGATTTGGTTTTTTATATCCTTCCCCTTAAGTGTTTAGCCTTACAAATTTAATAAAGACAAAGAAAGGCATGTAGTAAATATTCTGTCAAGTGGGCATCCAGAACACTGGTGAAAATTTGCTTCAGGGAGACATTTGCGAACAGCAAGTTTAAATTGAAATTACAGGAATCCACCAGAACTCTTTAAAGTTATCTTCTAAAAGGGAGTTACTTGCTGAAGGTTGTCTCTATTATAGGTTTTGGTTTGTGCGAGAGAGTGAACTGGGGTTTCTGCAGTCAAGGATATATATTAAAGAAAACAATTAAATATATTTGCTGCCCTTTTGATAACAACTTCTGTTGGTTTAGAACAAGAATCGCTTTGATCCCAACAACATTTTAGAGTATAACTTCTCATAGAAGACCTTATTTGTATTCCTCCCAGGAGCAAAAATAGGAAATACGCCATGCTTTGTATTATACAGATTTTTCCTACCCTGACTGAAAGCACTGTATTATTCATGCACAGGCTCTCCATCCAAAGCGGTGCCAAAACCGTTTGTCTTTGTGTGTGGGAAGGCAGAAGAGTTGTCCCTGCGATAAAACCAAATTTGTAATCACGGTTGTGGGCAGCGGCGTGGTAGTGACTCCTCATTTAACAGCTCTCAAGTTGTGGTTCCCAAAAAAGTGCTTTTTCTACAGCATTTTGTATTGGAAAGCCATGCTAATGAAGGTAGAAATTCACCAAATGTTTCATTTCTTACTTTTTGCGAGTGATTGATGCAGTTGCCAGTGGGATTTGATAATCTAAGTCAACAGGAGTGGTTTGGTTGGAGAGGAAGAAGCATATCTATGAGATGTCTTCTGCTCCACAGGAACAGATGAGGATATCTGAGAGTTTGTAGGTGGGCAGAGTCGAGTGAGGTGTTTCATGTTTGCTGTAGAAGTCAATAACATGTTCTACTTGAAAGAAGGATCGTACTTTACCGGAAAAAAAAAAAAAGATCTAGCCTGGCTATGAGCTTGTCCACCCAGTTCAACCTTGTTTTTGGACTTTGGATGAGTCTCTCAGCTGTCCTCCTTCCCCAAAGCTTTGTAGCCTCTTGTGACTACCTAAGAAACGCCCAGTCAGGGAAGCTTGTTAAGGGCTTTCCTGAAGTTGAGAAAGGATTTAACACATTTCCGATAGCCAGAATGGATCGAAGTTAACCCCACCTTACGGAAAGGAAGCCCAGCTGAATTACCACTTGCCGTAGTCCACTGGAGTTGGAGCTGTTCCTGGGTCTCAGTCCTCAGACACAGCCAACAGATGAGGATTCCTCCCAAACCATAGTATGCGGGATACAGCCTCAGGCAGCATATTTTTTATTGTCAAGCAGAACAAAATCCTCGAAGAGATTTTTTTAATGAAGGCTATTTTTATTTTTGGCCTTTAGTGAATTCAGTTGAGCAATTTGAAACCATTTCAGGGTTGATCTTTTTTTTTTTTTCCCCCTCAAGTGACAGTGAAGTCCCACAAATCTAGGAGACGCTGGCAATAAAACTGCTTAGATATAGTATATAAAATGCCACTGATGGGGTTATTTTGCTGCAGCTCGTTGCAGCTATTATGCTCAGCAGCATGATTCCTCATTGTAAGTTCATAAAAGAGCTAATGACAGGAAGTGGAGATTTGCAAAGTTGAATGAAAGTGGAATGCAAATTCATAACAAAAAGAGCAACTAACGATGGGAAGGGCGTACTGAGGACTGTGGTAAATGTGCCATCACTTAGAGTCTTTCAGTGAAATGCACTTGGTTTCAGCCAGGAGCTATTGTAATTTGATGTGGGAGCTGTGTCCTGATTTTCTCCATCCCGATGGTACAGAAAAAGTCGTACCTGAGTCTCCTCCTTTACCTGCAAAAGCACTGAGAATATTTGCCATGCAAATGCTTCGAGGACATAACCGAACGTGCTCTTCGTGGAGACAAGTATTGGGAAAGCTAAATCTGAATGCAAAAGATGGAGCGTGACAGTGGAGTGAGCGGTTACATGCCTGGAAAGAACTTTTTTCGGCTTTTTGGGGGTAAACATGTTTGTCTTGGTCATCATTTTTCACCAAGTGCTATCTCTGTGCAAGTAAAATAATGCACAGGCTGATACTCACAATCATTTGTTTGTCACTTTGTCATGATAAACCATCAGGTTTCACAGGAGATTTCTTTTGATAGATGTGTCAAAAAAAAAAAAAAAAAGTGAATCGGGGTTTGTAAGAGCTGATTTACGAGGAAAGATTAAAAGTACTGCATGGGCGTTATTTATGCGTATCCCAGGTAGGCACAGAAAACACCTGCATTTCTCAGGAAGGTGTAAATGCCAGGTGGGGGGAAGAGGTGTGGGAGTTGATGGGGATGAAGTTTGTAACTATGAGGACTGAGGTGAAATTCAGAGATTGTGAATGCAGGGAGAAGGACAGAAGAATACCTCCCTGAGATAGAGGTGCCATTCACTTTAACGAGACTTCAAAAACTCCACCAGACCATTGAGACCCTGTGCTGGAACAGTTCTGCTTTGGCTGGTTTGACCTTCTCCATGGTGTAACTGATGTCCCCCCCGTGCTGTCCTGTGCTGTATTTCTGAGGGTGGCTTTGGTTTGCGTTTCAGGGCGGCTTTCGGCAAAGAGTCAGAAGTTCTCATTGGCAACCTGGGAGATAAACTCATCCCTCAACAGGAGATCCTGCGGGACGTCAGCGACCTGAAGGCCTTGGCCAACATGCACGAAAGCCTGGAGTGGTTAGCAGGTCGCACCAAGGTGGCCTTCTCCAGCCTCTCAGCCACCCAGAGTAAGTAGCTCCCATAGGAGAACCTTTGACTTAGAAATGGAAGCCAGCATAAAGATGTGATTTTAGCAGGAGTGGGCATCTTCTGTTCTTGATTTCAAAGTGGGGTTACGTTAGAGGGAAGAAGAAAGTAAAGCAGCTTCATCTCTTTCTTCCTCGTGAATGCGGTGGTGTAACATCGGCTCAGACTGTGGTGGGCACCACGTGAGGGTGCCAGGAGCATCACTACTAGCATAAGCCCCGAAGGGTCTTTCAACACTTGAGCTTTTCAGCTGTCCCTCCTAATGACATTGCACAGAAGCAGGTATCGGTGCTGAGACGGGTTTCATTTTCTTTAAAGTATCGCTAGATCGCTACATATTTAAATATATATGTGTATTATAAATTCAGTAGAGAAATTGAACAGCATTTAATGAGGAGTGCCCTAACGTGCATGTCACTGGGGCACTGATGCTCAGCCTGCAGAGGCAAGAAGCAACCCCTGGTGAACCGAGGTGCCAGGAGGGCAGACAGAGGAGCCTGGAGACACCACTTCTGCTCCTGGCTGCCAAGGATCACCCGCGCTACCTTTGTGAGATTGTTTCACTTCTCTGTGCTTCAGCTTTCACTCTTTTCCCCAGGGAATAGTGATTTTTTTTTTTTCTGTCTGGAAAGTGCTAGAGACATGATCAGTGTTGCTTCTCTTCTTATCGCTGTCATTGGCGTTGTCTGCATGGGGTCACGTTCAGGGGAGGGTTGCGGCTGTGCCCCAGAAGTAGAGCTGGGCATAAACAGACCTCAGCTCTGCTGCTTTCCACCGATGCCTTTCCCCTCTTATTGACTCGCAAGGAGTCACCTATAGCTCAGCTGACATGGGGTTAAGCTTTTGCTAGGACCAGGGGGTTAAGTCTCACCTGCCTACTGAGACATCCCCAAGAGCTGTCCTGTGTACCAGGCTGATCTTCGGGAGGTGTCAGAGCACTTCATATTGCCCTAGAGCCCTGTAATAAAATATTGCGTGTTTTACAATTATTGAACATCCACATTTGTCTAGGGGTTATGTTAAATGCAGCTGCCTCGGGTGTGGACGGAGGCATCTACACTGTGCTGTAGATGGGCACCAGAGGTGAAGAAAAGCGCTGCATAAAAAAAATCCACGCAGCTTGGTAGGATCTCAGGACATGTGGGGACGTAGTGAGGATCCACGGCATTTCGGCAGTTTGTGATGCAAATAGGGAGCAGAGTCCTGGGGGAAGGTACCCACAGAGGAGCAGGACTGCGGGCAGCCAGATCTTCTGAGCTCTCGTGGGAATTTGGCATTGAAAAATCACTTCAGCCTTATTTTCTGGAAAGTGATGGGGGAAATTTGCTGGTGCTGAATAAAGTCATAGTGTTATATCTCCATTAAAATAATTGTCCCTCAGGAGCAGAGCATCTCTGATTGACTGAGAGTCCTTCCTACGGCTCATAACTCTGCTCTAGAGCAGGGCTTGTAAACTCTTTACTCCAGCTGTCCGTGGTCAGTTTGTTGGGATCCATAACGATAATTAAGATTATACAATCAGCTAACAATTAAAGACCAAAAATATTACAGGTAGATTTAATATTCCTGTAACCCATACTTAATATTCCTGTAACCCGTACTTTGAGTTCTGGATACCTGAGTGACAAGAAGAATTTCTGTGCTCTCAGAGGGTGTACTTTAGAAGATTATATTTTAAAAAAAAAAAAAAAAAAAGAAAACCAAAAGAAAACAAAACCCAATGGAAAATGCTGTGAAAGTTCAGTCACCAAGTATTTATTCACAGAACTTTAGTTACTGGGAGAGTTCTTGGGGCTGAGGAGTTGTGCTCTGATAGTCAAAGTTGTTAAAAATAAAAACATCATTTATAATTTCAGTTCTAGTTGAAACTCGGATTTTTTAATAAATCAATATTTTCCGAACATTAAAGGGCATGAGCGTGACTTTCAGGCTTCTGAGAGGACGTTACATGCAACAGTGAATAAACATAAAAGTACGAAGTGTAATATTTCACTTGGCAGCGTCCTCCTGACAATAAAAATTCATCTTCCTTTGTAATAACTTTATACCAATGCACTAAAATGTCTGTACACAAATGCCAGGAGTATCTGAAACAAGAGAAAGAACGAGCAGTGTTAGAAAATGATAGAGGCTGTTGACCGCGTGGTTATAAATGAAACCTGGTGGAGTATATCTCATAAATGGAACATCAATAGAGCTGACTGCAATCTATACGGGAGAAGTAAAAAGTGATGCCGTGGGGCAGAGTTGGTGGTATAAGTCAGATGTATTTACAAATCCAGCAAGCTACGGTGATATACAAGGGAGTGCAGTTCTTTTGGGGAAGAATACAAAGAATAAACAACAGAGGAAAAATGAGATGAGATGTCTCTTTCCATCCCACCTGGGCAGGAGGAGAAGAGCAATGCAAATGTGCTCGAACTGAGCTGGGAGGAGGAAAAATTAAAACTACCTATTCTTTCAAAGATTCATACAATGTTAATGCCATAACGCTCAACTGTCATATGAGTTATTCTGTTCTTTCCTGTCATGGTTTGATCATCTGAATTTCTGAGCATCTCATTGCTGGAAGCCACAGCATGTTAATGAGCATCAGGGGGAAGGAGGAAGGGAAATGACTGACCGAAAGTAAAACTAAATAAAGGGGGGTTCTGCCACGCCCTGAAGCTCACCAAATTCAGATTCAGATCGCCGTAAGTGCAGCCAGCTTTGTCATTTCAGCATCGGTAACTTTGGCTTTAAGACATGCCCACATGAGACCCAAGCATTCCGGTTCAATTCAACCGGAATCCGTGGTTTGTCGTACACAAGTCAGTGGGCCATTAGTCACCCAGCCCACTTTTTGGGTAGCTGCCTTTGGGCAGGTGGCAGTTGTTATATTCCTTTGAGCAATCTGTCTTCTGCTTTATTTTTCTCCTTGGACTAGATGCTACATTGAAGTGTCTATGCTTGAACGAAGAGTGGTAATCTCATTAACTGGTAGCAGTGATGGGCTTTTATCTTCCGTGCTTACCACATGTTGGGCCAATTCATGATGAGAACACACGTCCAGGTCTTTGATCATTTCTCTTTTCTGTCCCAGCACCTTGAGATTAAATCTTGGTCCCACTCAGGGCATCATCAAAGTGCTTAGTAACCGACTGGGAGCAGAATTTTTGGTGCGCTGCCAGAAATGCCATAATCTCCAACAAGTCCATGACATGGTGGTGGTGGCCCTGTATTCCTTACCTGTAGAAAGGCGGTAGCTTTTCCAGCAAAGCATCCTTGGCTGCAGATGGACAATTTATAGGCATAGCTCCAAGTATTCAGAAACCACAAGGTGGAGCTGGGCAGGTATAGACATGTTTTGGGAAATCCTAAAAAGGGGGCTTCCTGTTGGTGGCTTTTTGGTTAGGCTGTCAAAAGGCCCCTTCCTAGAGATAAAAATTCAATAACCTTTTGCTGTGGATGTGCCACAATTATCACTCATTTGAAAACAGTCCTGCTAATAGAGTGTTTTATCATGCTGGACAGTCTCTGCATTCTTCATTATTTAGTGTTTGCTAAGCTGATGGCTCTTCCATAGCTCTTCCCTTATCTGCACTTCTTCAGAATTGGATTTTATATTTTCCGAACCAGTCAGATATGACAAAGTCATTTTCTTTTGCTCTTGTCTTGTGAGCGAATACAAACTTCTTTTTAACAATAACCATTTAAGGATTAAAGTTGCTGGAAGAAGATGAATTAACTGAGGAAGTCCAGTAAATTTTAAATAGGTTTTATATGAAAATGGAAGTAGGGTTTCTTCTCCTCTTCCTCTCCTACTTCTGTGCCTTGTCATGTGCAGATACAACATATACTCATCCTTTTCCCCTTCTGGAGCTTCAGCCTTCTGAAGCCCTCTGAATATTGTACAAAGAAGGACTTATCATGCACCATGAAGGAGCTGGGACAATCTTTACGTTTTTAAGATGGTTGCATGCTGTGTGTAGGTAGGAAGATGAAAGATTAGCCATTTGCTTACTGACTTGCAGCTACCCTTTTAAATTCAGCCAGCTGTTGGCATCCCGTGACTTCAGATCGTTGTAGTCAGCAGTTAACGACTGACTGGATTAAATGTTGAGTTTGAAATTACTTTCTTATGGAGCTCACATAAAACAGGATTGTCTTTCGCTTCTAGATGGCTTATTGGAAGTAAAGTTTTTGCATGGATACCGTGTGTCCACGTGTGCTTATAGATCAAGAGATACTCTTGCATTCACCCAAAGGTTGCTCAGTGTATCACGTTCACTTTCTGTGTGTGCTTTCAATTTCTTGTCCTTAATGAGGAATAATACCATTTTAGTACCTTAACAGTTTTATCTAGAAAAACAGGACTCAGGCAGTAGTCTCAAGAAAGACACCTCTTCTCCTGTCATTAGCTTCTCCATAACAAGAAAATCTATTTAGAAATGGATCCTGAGGCTCAACATTTAGTCAAAGTAGGGAGGTGCATCAAGGAGCCCCCTGAGAGGAAGTGTTGGGTCAGGAGGGTATTGAAATCAAGGCAGAAATGGGAAAAAACTCCTGGGTGTTTTTATTGTGGGCTGTTTGTTGGCTCTTTGTAGAGCCCCAGGTCCTGGATTCATGCAGTCGGGTGAGCATCTTGCTGTATCTGAAAACCACACACATACATGCACACTTACCCTTTTTCTTGGAGAAAAGCTTCACAAGCGTGAAGGACTCAAAAGATACTGTTTTTTAAAACCAGACGTAAACCAATGATTTCTTTGACAGTTGTGAAAGCTCCTGACTCTCAGTACCAGCTCCTCCCTGTCCCTTAGTGTCCCTTGGAAATTGGCACTGGAGCACGGTTTCCTTAAAAAGCAGAGATTCAAAGTCTTCAACACAAACCCGGCTTCAAATAGACGTCAGGCTGACCCTGTGACTGCAGTGGCAGAAACTAGAAGGTGAACTCGCAATAATTGAGGAAAAATATGAGTACACATTTGGAATTAACCTC